TACCAAACAACTCAACCATAACCAAGAAAAATAGCATGTTAAAGCGCGTATAAATTTGTATGACAAGTTTTGAATCACATTAACAACATTCATTATTCACAATAGCAGTTTACATATATGTGTGTGTGTGTGTGTTTTGCTTCTTACATGTCATCTTAGGAAAGCATTTTAAAATGCAATAATCACACATTCGGGTCTTTCTCTGTGTGATGATCCGCACGAACTCCAACTTATCATTCTTCCAAAATTGTCCAGTGATCCAAAAACCTCATTAACAACCTATAAACATTATTAATTTATAAATCACTTATATTAACTAATTTATCCTTCTTAAATACTTAAAATTTTAAAGTTGAAAATTTAGGATATTACATATTTAACCCCAAAACTAATTTCTATTGGCTTGTTTAACTTTTACTAGACTCAACCATCCTTATTGGCTTCCTTTATAAATTTTACTTTAATTAATTAGTATTAAGGCTAACACTTTAACTCTTAATAATGACACTTAATGATAGCAACAATCAAAACTCATTCATTAATGACATTTATGAGCACCTTAAGGCGCCATAAAAATCATTAAATATCCCATTGCAATTTTTGGACTTAGGATTTAGGAAGATTAAATGTCTCATTCATTAATTTTCGGATAGCTCCATCATACTCCAAAAACTAGCTAAGGATTTAGAAAGAAATAAGAACATTGAAATAGAAGACTTACCAAGATATAAGAACATTAAAATGCCTCCAAAACTTCACTACAATTGAACTCTAGTAGAGTTTAAGTGCCTCCCCTCGGATTCTCCGAAGAATGACAGTTTCTCTTTTCAGCCAAATTGTCTAGGAGATTCTTGCAATCAGATTCTATAATGACATGTCTAAAACCAAAATCCCATGCAAAATGGAGACCTTTCCAGATGGCCCATTCCTCAGATTCATAAGTACTACAAAGCCTAATATGATGACAGTATCCCATTATCTAGTGCCCAGTGTTGTCTCTTAATACTCCATCGCACCCTGCTATACCACTTGAGGTAGACACAATCCCATTTACATTAAACTTAACCCAACCATATGGTAGAAAGGTCCAAGAAGGTCCTCGATTCAAAGGTTTAGAGCAGCTTTCATCAGTCAAATTATTATTGTTAATATAATTTCTCCAAGCAGCAAAGATTGCAGTCAAAGGGTTAACAGGCTTTTGAAAATTAACTTCAAAACTATGACTGCATCTCCATTTCCAAAGCTTTCATGCAATAACTCTGCTGTGGTGAAGACAGTTTCACTAAAGCCTGTAACTGTGGGCCCAGAAACAGTTGTTTTACACCATTCGACTCTCTTAAAGGTTTCCATGGACCCAATTGACTTTCGGGCCCAAAGATAAGCTTCCAATTATCCCAATTACTTAATCAAATCATCTGATTAATCAATTTAATCTTTAAGTTATATTCGGCATATTACAAGCGTCACTTTCACCCACATCACCGGCGACAATAGAGTGTTTCAGCAGGCCACCATGCTTGTCGGACGTCACCCACTTCCTTCTTCATTCTTCCGTACACGACTAAGAAGACGATGGTGCTAGAGATAGCTAGATCCAAGAGAATAAGTCAAGGGCAATTAAGGTTTTAGATCTAAAAGTTTCAACAATATGAGCTTAGTCAGAGGTTTGTTTGGGTAAAATTTGAAAACTTCCACAACGTTAGAGGAAGAGATTACTCTTGCGATTTAAATGCATTCTGTTTTGGGGTATGAGATCTTTGATGATACTGACAACTAATTTTTCTAGTACCAGTAATTCACTTATAATATTACTTATTATTCTCATGTCATGGCGTGAGAATTAAAATCTTGAATAATTTGCATTTAAATGTGAATAATACATAGCCGAGATTAGAGATCCAAGTGATACAAATCTACATTTTCTTCAACTCATCGTTGGCCATTTTTTTGGATATTGGGAGCACGATGCAGGGGCTGCTTTAAAAATTTCAAATATTAAATGGTTATTTTAAATAACAGATAAATAAGCCCCAATTATTTACCAATTATTTAATAAAACAATAGATCCCCTCATTCAAAGGTTATTTTCCAAAAAACGTTCTATATATCTCTTTATTAAATGGTTAAAAACCTTTAAGTAAATGCTCGGGAAATATAAAGTGCTACTTTACTTAACAACTAAAAACCGTTTAATATAAAAAAATAACTTTTTGATAAATCCTTTTTTATAATAGTGCTAGTTATAATGCCTTTTAATAAACAAAATTCTGACTTTTTTATTTGGTTTTTTTTATTTGCTATTATTATAGATAAGCACATTCATATATAACTTTTTACTACTTTTTTAATTTAAAAATACCTTGCATTTTTAATGAAATTTCATTTTCATCAATAAAATAGTTAATTCTCTTTAAAATAACACAATTTATTTATATTTTTATTTAATAAAACGTTTTATTATAAAATAAATATAAAGTAATTTATTTATTATAAACCTATATTAAAATATTAAAAATGTTTTATATTTTTTATTTCATAACATCTTAAAAAATAAATATGTACTGGTATGTGTAGAGGAATTTAATTCGAAATCCCGGCCTCCTCCGAGTAACGGCGAAGCAATTGAGTGGACTAGTTCTAGTAGCCCGCAACCAAAACAAAAGTTGTGACTTTCGAGTTTTTTTGCAAACACTCGAAATTCCCGATAGTTTGAAATGGAAGCTAATAACTTATTTATCTCGAATTCTCCGTAAGCTCTTTCGGCCAACCTCCATAAGTTAATGAATTACATAAAATAAAATTACTTTTTCCAGAACAAATATTCATTATTGAAGTCAGTAAATGTTTTATACAATTATTTAATATAATTTTATATTATATTATATATAATAAGTTTTAAATACACCACATGAGAGCCCCATATATTTATCTATTCAGTGAAAAATTTGTTTTAACATAATGATCCCTATCAATCAAGCTATAAAAAATATTATCACCAAATTAGACAAGACCCGTGAGGCATACTCTCGTCTCTAGAGCCCGGAAGGGTGTGGAAAATATTAGGGAAAATTACCCGCAAGTCCCTCATATAAATTACAAGTATAACTGCCCTAAAATCTCACCAATTGTTGAAATTATATTTGAGTCTCAAAATCCCTTGATGTGAAGAATTTTCCAAAGAAAATGACCTGCCAATCTTTGATCCTCGCTGAATTTGCTGCCTCCTCTAACACTTCAGCTTCCTCCTCCAAATCTCAACCACCACACACCTCCTTCTCATCCTGAGTTGTTCCTTGTCCTCCTTCCCCTTCTCCAAGCAGGTAATCTTCCTTCCAAAGCCAAAGGCATGGGATCTTCAGGGGAAGCATGCACCGATGGGTGTGGACAAGGCAATATTATTTGCTCCTTCTTGCATTAACGTATCGTCTTCGAACAAATACCCATCACAATCCTTGTGATGAGCACGAGTGCTTATCACTCTGAGGTATGGCCAAATTTTGACCTTTCATTTTAAATTGATTTTTAAATATTATACTTATTAACATAAAAATTACAAAAATATTTTGATATCAAATCTGAATTGTAGTTCATACTCATTTAGGAATAAGCATCGTAGTACTCATCATCTCGTAGTACTCATCATCTCTTATAAGATCTGGACCATTCAAATGTAATTTTTTTTATTTTTAGTTACATTTATCAAAAATAAAATTTGTAAAAAAATATAAAAATTTTAATCAATTTATTTATTATCAATATGGTTATTACAAATTTAATTTGCGAGATTCAATTTAATTATAATTTTTTTATAATTTTTATAACTTACCTGTTCAAATATACTTTGATAGTTTAAATATAATATAAGTGGCCTAATTTAATATTTATAATTTTTATATTTTTACGGATTATATTTAGATATGCGTTCGATAGCTCAGATTTAATTACATGGAAGAGGGTATATCCACCCATCCACTGGGTCAAAGGAGGCGAAATCGTTGCTTGGGTTGGACGACTCGAAAATGCTCCCCAGAGGCGGCAGCTGCACTGTCTCGCCCAGTTCCTCCAGGGCGGACAAGTCGCCGGAGGAGGAGGATATTGCCGATGACGATGATGAAGAGAAAAACGAGAGCGGCTTCGTCGAAGGACTAAATATCTCCATCGCAGAGGCCTTAGATGCGGCGGCCTAAACATCCCTGGTCGAGTTGGAAGTGGTCAAGGCAGGGAACCCACGAGTTCAGGGAAGTTGAGAACGGCGGATTGGCCTTTGATAGTGAGCGCGGCCACATCGGCTTGGCGAAGGTGCCGAGCCAGATCCGAGCCTTCTTCACGAGCTACCGGATTTCAGGCACCCACTTGCCCCTATTCCTGCACTTTACAATTAAGAAGGTGATGTGGTGGTGATTGTGATTTGGATTTGGGGGAGGAAGATGAAGAAGTGTTCAGAGGCAGTAGATTCGGTAAGATGAGGGAATGGCAAATGAATCATTTTCCTTAAAAAAATATTTGTATCTAAGGACCTTGGATTACAAATAATTTTAACGGACTTTAGGATAGTTAAAAGAGAAATTTTTAAATACATCGTGTGCATTATGTTATTTGTAATTTATTTAATAAAACATCATATTTGAGTTTTATTAAATATAAATTAATTTTAATATTAATAATAATAGAAAGAAAGATAAAAAATTAAATTTACATCTTATTATAAAAATCAAATTAATTAAAAAATATCATATAAAATTTTAGTTAAATTATTTAAAATATTTTAATTAAATAGGTTATAAGTAATATAATACATTTAATTTATTTAGGTATTTTTTTATTTAAAATTGTTATAAGGAACTTTGTAGTAATTTTATTCAAAATATTATCATCATATTCTTTTTGGTTTTGTTGAGCAAATAATATCATGACATCATCATCAAAAAGTTGCGTGAACTTCATTATGAATCCCACACAAAAAATTAATCAACCCAGCGCCTACTTAAGAGCTCCTCTAGCTTCCCATTTCCGCGCCGAGCAAGCTCCAATCAGAGAAGGAGAAAGCAAGAGCCATGGCTTTCTCCATTAGAATGCTTCTTCTCGCCCTCGCCATTCTCTCTCCCCATCTCCAAGCAGCTTCCTCTGCTTCACCCGCCCCTCTTCATCCCATCGTCCCCACCCAACACCCACTCGACCCTCTCACTAAACAAGAGATCACTCTCATCAGAACTGTCGTCCTAAACAAATACCCCTCCGGCACCGCCTTCCACTACGTCGGCCTCGACGATCCCGATAAGACCACCCTCCTCAAATGGGCTTCATCGCCTAACAAAAACCTCGTACACATCCCTCGCCTCGCCTTCGTCATCGTCATCATTAAATCCCAAATCCACGAGATCCTTATAAACCTCAAAACCCGACAAATCCTCTCCGACAATGTCCACACCGGTAACGGCTTCCCCACCCTGACAGTGGACGAACAAAGCGAGGCCATTTTGCTTCCGCTGAAGTACGGTCCCTTCATTGAGTCCGTGAAGAAGAGAGGGCTCAACTTGTCGGACGTTGTGTGTTCCACTTTTACCGTCGGGTGGTACGGCGAGACCAAGAGCATTAGGGCTCTGAGGGTGGAGTGTTTCATGATGGGTGAGGCGGCCAACATATATGTGAGGCCAATCAATGGGATACTCATACTGGTGGATATTGACAAGATGCAGATTATTCAGTACCAGGATAGATCGGTCGAGCCTGTGCCTAAGGCCGAGAATACTGAGTATCGAGCTGACCATCAAAAGCCACCCTTTGGTCCCAAGCTTCACGGCATTGCCACGATTCAACCAGAAGGGCCAGGATTCAAGATCCAAGGCCACAGCGTCAGGTATGTGTGCGTGTGATACTACTGACGTCACTACTATCTCAGTGGGTTTTTCGGTAAGCAGTTTATCGTGTTTAGAAAGCTTATAAAATTTAAGTTTTAACGTGACGTGCGGTGCGAGGTGATGGGTCTTGAATCTCGATGGACAAATTACAACTGTTTTTGCTTCTTCTTCTTCGTCTTCTTCATCTTCTTAACACTCTTCGTCCTCGTCCACGACTCATGGGACTGCAAGATAGCGGTTTTAATGTCTGCTCCCACCGTAACAAAAGATAATGGTCGACGTACGGAAGAACTCTGGGGCTACCTTAGGAGCTGGATTTTCTCCTCTGCAAAAGAGAGTAAAGGAAAAACCATTGCAGATCTCTGAACTTTTAAATTTTATAATTTTTCAAAATACATATTTAATTTGAAAGTTTAGATTTATGGTGGAAAGAAAAAGTAAAGGAGAGAACCTGCTACCTTATCTACTTGTTTTGCATGAAATTTTAATAATAATTTACGATTTTAATGACATTGAATTGCTTCAATAAAAAATATATTTTTTCATGAGTGCCTTATTCTGGAGTCTTAGGTCTTGAAAAGCAATAGGAGGTAAGAGTTAGTATGAAGATGATTTTTATTATAGTTGATTATTGTTTAGAACTGTTTTTAATTACTTTTATCATATGTAAATTTTAATGTTTTGGCTATTCTTTAAATATAATTTATAAATATTAATTAAGTTCATAGTTTTTTTTAGCATTATGGGCATGCGTGCTCTCTTAAAAATTTGCGTTGAAAATGCTTTCAAAAAATCCTCAGTAGAAAGTCATCTGTACTGTTATTCTTTGTTTTAAAATATATTGGCATGCATTATTTTACCAAGATATGAGATAAGTCCTGGTGTTACTTCTGTACTCCTAGACTTTGCATGGACAATATTCCTATAATCTTACTTCTAACTACCTTATCAGGATTAAGAAAATGCAGTTAAATTATTGATATTATTTAAAAAATATTTACATTAATTTTAATTGAATAAATCATTTTTAAAATATTTTTTTTCATGTAACATTTTTATTTTATAATCATAGAAAATAAAAATAGAGGTAAGTAATAAATTATTTATTTTTTATGTACATACCATAAATTTTTTCTAGAAGATTTCGTATTCATAGAACCAGAGTGAGCACATTAATTAGCAAAAAAAGAAAAGAAGCTGGAATTGGGGTCTGGCAATGTCTATTTAATTGAAAGAGATAGGCAACAGGAATTAGGAAGCGCTATGCTTTGACTAAAAGAGGACGGGTGTGGGGCTATATTAATTAATAGTAATCATGATGAATGAAAAGTTCCCTTTCTTATGAAAATAATTAACTTTAGAGGGGAACATCATACATTCTAGTGCTGCACAAAAACCTAAAAGGTAAAATTTTAATCTAACTTAAAATTTAATTTTATCCGGTGATAATTCAAAGTTTAACAGAATCAAATTTGATCTATAAAGAGTCTGTTTGAATATTTATTATGAATCAATTTGAGATTAAAATTATGGTTTTATAAAAATTTATCCAAACACTTTCATTTTATAAAACTCCATTTGGTTTGAAAAACTTCATTTTAGAGAAGCTAAAATTTTTTCCATTTGCAAAACTCTATTTGGCTCCTTTTTTTGTATCATTTATTTACACATTCAAAATTTATTCTCAAAAAATTATTCAAATATATTCAATTTATAAAAATTAATTTCTAAAAATTTATTCAAACATCATTACGTTTTAATAATCAATTTTTTCTAATTGAAATCCAAACACCTCTAAAATTAAAAGATTGATTTTATTAGTCCAGTATTCCTTCGATCCAGTATATAAGTCATTTTTTAGAAGTATAATCTAATTCACTTTATAAGTCATTTGTTGATAAAATTGTTTTGTTTTAAATTAAAATTTTTAAATTACCCTCAAAAAGTAAGAGAGAGAAAAATAAAAAAAATAATATTATATGATTGACTTATTTTTTATTTTTTATTTGAGGGTTATATTTGAAATTTCATTTACTTTTATTCTTTATACTTTTATTGTATTAATATTGATGAGGTTGGTAGAAATGATTTATAAATAGGATCAAAAAAGTATTTAGTTAGCTTTTTTTTCCTCTATGAGAGGCAATAATCCATTTCAATTTAATAAATTTAATTAAAATAATAAAAAAACTTATAATAATAAATTCATAATAATTTTTAACAATAAAGAGAAAAATATTTTAGTTACAGTTCAAATAATTTAAATTTATAACTTTAATAAAAACAACGCTTAACAAATTTCAAATAACACTATATTACAACAATAAATTAATAACAAACTCAACAAATTTTTATACAATCATTTTCTTAACATTAATTATATTTGAAACATTTGTTAAAAATAAATTATTTATAATCATATTAAATAAATTAATAGGATTAGATTGGATTAAGTTATTTAGATACTCAGCCTCTTATCCAGTTTAATCCAAAAACATAATTTAATTTTTTTAATCTTTTTGATTCAAAGACCAGTATTTATATTGAACAAGATCAAACTGAATTAAACAGGAGAGGAAGACTTTTACATAACTCTAGTGTATACCATAAAAACAGAGTCTTCATACGTAGCGTGATGCAGTATATTGGGACTATTATATTTGATTTGAATAAGCGTAGCGTACAACTGTGGTATGTTGCAGCTGGGCCAACTGGAAATTTCATGTCGAGTACGATGTGAGAGCAGGAGTAGTAATATCACTCGCATCATTGTACGATCTGGACAAGCACAAGTCTCGAAGGGTACTCTACAGAGGTTATATCTCGGAGCTGTTCGTGCCATACCAGGATCCATCCGATGAATGGTACTACAAGACATTTTTCGATGCCGGCGAGTTCGGGTTTGGACAGTCCATGGTGTCGTTGGAGGCCAATCGAGATTGTCCTCCTCATGCTCAATTCATGGATGCTTACCTTCATGACCGTGACGGAAACCCCTCCCTCCTCCAAAATGCCTTCTGTATCTTTGAAAAGCATGGCGAGATCTCGTGGCGTCACACAGAGACTGGCATTCCCAATCAAACTGTGAGTTTTCTTTTCTTTTTTTTTCCTTTTTATTTAAATGAAAATTATCGCATCGTGCAGGCGCCGAATCTTGTTTTCTTGTATCGTCACATGTTTTTGATTAAAAAGGTCATAACTTGATTCGTCGTGGCTGTTGTGTAAATGTTGATAGATTCGAGAGGTCAGGTCAGACGTGAGTTTGGTGGTGAGATCGGTGGTGACGGTGGGCAACTACGACAACGTTATGGATTGGGAGTTCAAGCCCAGTGGCTCCCTCAAGCTTGGGGTACGCATCATCACTCTATTTCCCTCTCTCTCGCATCATTTCACACGTACAAGTTGAACCTGATGTCGCTTTCATATGAAATACTTGAAATGGTCATTGCAGGAATCACTTAATTACCTCTCCGGCCCCGCCTCCTAATAAAAAAATCCTATTAAATCCAACACCTTTTAAAAAGATCACAGTTAAAAATTAAAATTAAAATTTTAAAAAGAATTTCTATTGAAGTTTTTTAACAGTATTTTGTAACTATTTTCTAAATTTATGTTAAAGAACATCTTTGCAAGGTTAACGTTATACTTTTTCGGCCTCAAATTATAAGGCAACTTCAAATAAAATTACATATATTAATAACACATAATAATGATATTTTACAAACTTATTTTTTCAAACTAGAACTATAAACTTTTAAAAATACCACTACATATTCAATTATTCCAATTGTCTCTATATTTGAAAGGTAATATTAAAAAAGTATGATTAATAAAATTTTATTTTTTTTAAATTGTCTCATGCACAACAAAAATTTTTAAAATTATTTTATAATTTAGAATGGGAGGAGTGTAACTAGACAATAATTTCATTAATATGATAATAAGAACCTTGATTCTTAAAATTAATTAATTTCTGGCCGGAACTTTTTAAGATCTGACGATTATTATTAATTATTAATTAATATATATCTAATGTTTTTTCTGTTCAAATTCAACAGATAGCACTCTCGGGAATGCTGGAAATCAAGGCAGTTGACATTAAGCACAACGACGAAATTAAGGAAGAGCAACACGGAATATTGGTGTCGGAGAACAGCATCGGAGTATACCATGACCACTACTACATTTACCATCTTGACCTCGACATTGACGGCGAAGAGAACTCCTTTGTGAAGACAGATTTGAAGACAGTGAAAGTCACAGACGGCAGCTCAAAAAGAAAGAGTTACTGGATAGCCGAGGCTCAGACACTGAAGAATGAATCGGCAGCCATGATCAGGTTAGGAGTTAGCCCGTCCGAGCTAGCTATTGTAAACCCTAACAAGAAGACCTCCATCGGCAACGAAGTCGGCTACCGCCTCATTCCGGCGATGCCAGCTCACCCCCTTTTGTTTGAAGATGATTACCCACAAATACGAGGAGCTTTTACAAACTATAATGTCTGGGTCACTCCATATAACAGGAGCGAGAAATGGGCTGGCGGGCGGTACGTTGATCAAAGCCGCGGAGAAGATACCCTGGCCGTTTGGACTAAAAAGTAAGATCATTATCTCCTCTTCCTTTTCACACCTAAAAACATTCATTTGATTACAATCTAGAAATAAATACATTAAGCTGCTCCCAATATCATTGCAATAATGTTGCAGGAACAGGAATATTGAGAACAAGGACATAGTGTTGTGGCACGTGGTGGGAATTCATCACGTGCCAGCACAAGAGGATTTTCCAATAATGCCATTGTTAAGCACTTCGTTTGAGCTGAGGCCAACCAACTTCTTTGAGAGGAATGCAGTTCTCAAGACACCCTCTCCCAAAACTTGGAAATGGCCAGCTTGCCCCAAGCAAAACTAGTTTGCTGGGCATCATAGTTAAATTATTGTGTGGAAGCGCCGCGTGCACATTAGTATTAAATCTGGTCGAGAAAAAACAAGAGTGTAATCCAATGATTGATTAGTGTGCAATGTTGTTAGGCAAGTCAAAGATAGGGAGAACAAAGGCGTGCAATTTATTGCCGTATGCGTCTCTGGTTTTATGTGTATTCTGAGATGTTTGTGAGCGATGAAAATCATATTTAGAATAAAAGGGGCACCTTTTTAAGTAGGTATCTTATATTTTCATTGGAAAAGTGAATGGATAAAAGTTTTTAACGTCCTTGATTTAAAGAACGGATTGGTGAAATTACAAAATTTTTAATAAAAAAATGCAAAATTAAAAGAGTAAAAAAAATAATTAAAATATTTAAACCTGGCTTCTCCATTTTTAAAAAAAGCGATCTCAATCTCTCCTTAGTTCTTATTAAAATCTCCATCGAGACCTGCCAGTCTTTTCATATTTACAACTTCGGTAAATGGTATATAGTTTTAAAAAAGCTTATGTTTGTTTTAAAAAAAACTTTACTATCATATTTTTATATAACTAGTCTATGATATTTAATAGCTCAATTGACATGTTAACCCTTACTTTTTTCCCTTATCCACCAAGGTTTTAGTAAAGATGTTAGGGAAAATTTAATCTTGAACTCCTTGATCAAATATAATAAAAAAGAGAGTTTTTTAACGTTTGAAATTTTACTGTAGATTAAAGAGAGTGAAATGAAATTAAAATGTGAACTAAAATTACCTATCATGCCTGGTGAAAGAGAAAACAAAATAACAACATCCAGAGTGAAGGAATGACAGAGGAAGAGACAAAATCACGTGAGAAGGGTCTCTCCCTCTCATCCCCCCTTTGTTTTGCCTTTCCCAACATCATGAGCTAATAACTTTGAACATCCCCCTCTGTTCTCTTCTATAATGGTGTAGCCTAATATCCATTTTTCTTCCTTGACCAACAAGCTCTCCAGTCTCTACACTTGGTTGAGCTCATCATCGAAAGCCGTTAGCGATTTTCAGCCCTGTGTGGTTGTTCTCAGGTAAGTATTGAAGGAGGCTTGAACCTTCGGGCTTTGTATACTCTCAAAATTTGGTGAGATTGATCTATTCAATCTAGCTTTGAATCTGGACTTGAATTTATTCCCTTGTCATCCATTCCCTGTGTTGGACACCGTTGCACCACTGCTTACTTTGTTTTAAATGTTTCTGTTAGGAAAAAACAAAAAGCGGTGTCGTGAGGCATGCCAAAGATGAGAGATCTTAAAAAAATGGAAGAACTTGGCTTCTAATCAAATGTAAGAAACTAGAATTCCATTACCACAGTTCATCCAAATGTGAGAATGTAAAGTGAAGAAAATTAATGCAGATGCAAAGGAGCAGAGATACATTAATTAAAGAAAGAGGTGGCAAATTATGCCAGTTGTACAATAGAAAAATAAAGACTAAAACTCCGTGATAAAAAGGAAAATAAAATAAAGTAGAAGATATAGAGTTTGGGAATCTAATTAGTAGTTTAATGATGTTGATGATGATTATTCTTGTTAAGAGGGGGCCCTTTATTTATAGATGATTCTGACTTAGTACCCAAGCCCATGATCGCTACTTTCTTTGAATTTAGGAAGCATTTCCTCTGTGGTGATCAATCATCATGGGTGGAGTAGAGATAATGGCTTAGACTCGATCTTAACTTAATAGCTAAGACTTCATAAATATTCATTGTTAATTATTTTAAGGCCAATTAAGTTAAGTTGAGCCTGAGTCTCTAAATTTACAATTTAAGTACAAACAGTTTCATTTTAATTTGGCTTTGAATTTAGCTATGTAATCATTTTGATTACTAGCAAGTAGCAACTTATATGTTTTAGATTGTTTTGTTATGTAATGTTGGATTTGTTATCTATTGGCATTTTGAGTGTAATATAAATCAACTATGCTAGTTGAGGTGTTGGAATTTTTTAGGTGGACTAAAGAGTGTGTGCGTTTTATTAGAAGAAAAATTGATGCTCCATTTTCATCCATATTGGAGTTGTGAATTGGCTTTCCTGTAATTTTAAAATTCAAGCTAACAAATTTATTAGTTGATATACATTGAGTTGTTAATTTTTTTTTTTTACATTTGTTAATGTAGCATGCTAGAGTTGTTAGGACTTATAGAGAGAAGTTCATTGAGTCCTCCTAATTTGGTGACAACAAATACGTCTTTTCTCTTGCAATATAGCCTAGCTAAATAGGGTTTGCCTACACCAATCCCTAGGATGAATGGGTCAAAGTGGAAGAACTTGTTTATGTTGGTTGGGCAGACATTTCCTCATGGTGATGCCTTTAGAGTTTGTATATGAATGCATCCACACAACCAATTTAGTTTTTCTTGGTATGTGTTCTTTTTTGTAAAAGGGTTTATTAGTATGGGTTGCTTTTTATAAAAGGGATTTATTAATGTGGGTAGATATTTGTAAATAGGGTTTCTGTCATGCTCGCATGTGACGAGCTGCATTATTCACCTTGACAAATAGTCAAAAGGAGGCAACTTTACTTAGGCCCAATTTCTGGGCCTAATTTGGCCTAAAAGCCCCTTAAGCCTTACTTTTAACCCCTTAAAGGATACAATAGGCTAGAATAGTCATCCAAACTCAATAATTAATTAAGTAATTAAATCCTCTAATTAATTAATCAAATTTTTTAAATTAGTTTTAGGCTATTACAAATCAAGGGTACAGTCAAATTGAGCCAACCATTAGTACTTTAAAGATGATGATGAGAGACTATATATTCTAAGGGATCCTAGAGGGAGGATGAAGTGGAAGATGAATTTATGATCTTCAATTGGCTAAAACTTTCTAGTGTCCTAGCTTTTCTCATTTTATTTGATGATTTAGTACCTTAGTCTAAGGTTAATTCTTTATTGGTTTGTAATTCTAACTTGAATTCATCTTTATGTAATGAGAATGCTTGTTTAATCGATTCGTCTCTTTTGAATTTATGATACATTATTCGGCCATCAATGTGAAATAGCATAGTTTTATATTTTATCATTGATGATTGTCTCGATTACCATGCATAGTCTTATGGGATAATTTTAGACTTCTATTAGAGAGGTTTTTCATAGTTTTGGGACTTAATCTAACACTTATCCCATGACTCACATAGAGAGGATCAATTAGAACACTTGGTCAATTTTAAATTAAATGAACTAAGAACATTAGCTAATAACTTAGGAAATTGAATCAACTATATTGAATAATCTAAGATACTCTTCTAGGTTGTTTATTTCAGCCAAGAGAAGAGTCAACTAGTAATTGTCATAATCAATGTAAGACAGTGATTCTTCCACCAATCCATTCTCTAGGATTTCATCTTACTCGTAGGGGATCACACTCACTTTATAGTAGCTTAGCATTTTGTTAGTTTAGCTTAATCAAACTTTCACTACATTAGGTAACTTTTAACACCTCGATAACCTCACTAAGCTATTTGGCCACTCTAAGGGAAATGATCTAAATTGCACCTTGGGCTACACTTAGGCAAATTTAGTATTTAATTTTGCAAGAAAAGTAACACTCTTATTAGCTAGCCCACACGAGCTGCCCATGGGTTTGCTCGCAACTTGTTTTCCCATGGCTAGCATTTTCATGAGCATTAAGAATTGCATCATTCATTTTTTTTAGGAATAAATGGTAAATTGATCCCTCATCTTTGAATTATGAATTCAAAAGTGTCTGAAAGATTGAAATTATAAATTCATTTTTTTTGTGTAATATTCACTTTTTACTTTTAAAATCAGTATAATCTAGTATAATCTATTTCCTACTGTTAATAAAAATAAACGTTAATGATTAATTAATCAAAAAATGACAGAAAAATATTTTAAAAATTATAGAAAGGGTCAAATTATACCGTTTAATTAAAGGAGAACATTTTATTAAAAATAAATTTAGAATTCTAAACATTCTATTTACTTTTTTATCCTTTTATTTTAATTATACCGGGGAGCTAATGATTTGAATTTACAGCCCCACCCATAATCCAACGTGATAATACAAATTAAATATAAGAACGCATTTCAAACTTGCCACCCACTCGTCACAATTTTCTTATCGAATTGCAAATATTTGTCATAGTGCAGTTTTAAGATTAGAGAGATATTTAACACTATTTACCACTTAAACTGCACAAATATATGAGTGAAATAAAGAGCTTTTATCATTAGTAACCTTTAGAGAGAGAGAGAGAGAGAGAGAGATATATATATATATATATATATATTAAACTCTTGTCCATCGAAGTAATTTTCACAAAATAGGTCTCATCAGTTAATTTTCTCTCCATATTTACCACCACACTTTGTCGTTGTTTACATCACATCACCAAGAGCCTTTTGGCTTGACCGTACCCTATACTTCTTAGAAAGAGGTTCGTTGTAGATTCTAAATTCCATGTGATCAATATACGGGTAGGTGTGTGATTATGACGAGAATGTATGTGTATGAAAGGAATATTAGATTAGGTTAGGCGTCTGTTTTTTTTTTTTTTTTTGGGCCGAACATAGGTTATATTAGATTAGGTTAGGCGTGTCTATCTAATCCCTTTAAAAGGGGGAAAAATGAAACCAGACCCAAACATAGGTTATATATAAGGTAAAGTTCAGAAATTTAGCTTCTAATCCCTTAACCTTGGTTTGAGCATAATGTCACAACTTATGTTCAGGTGTAAAAGAATTCATAAAGTTGTAAAATTTTTAAAGACTTTTAGGATAATGGGAAAAATTTCAGAGCTTTTAAAAAAGATTCAATGTGTTCTAAAATGTTCTACAAGCATCTAAAATAATCTAGAATTATCTAAAAAAATCTAAAAAGATTTAGAAGTTTTTAAAAAATTCTAAAAATTTATGGAGGAATGTCAAGATATTTAAAATATTTTAAAATATTTTAGAATGTTCTAAAATATTTCACACATATCTTAAAGGTTATTCTCTAAAAATATCCTTATAAATGTAAATATTTTTATGGAACACTCTAGAAGATGAATGTAAATCGTATGATTAGATTGATCTCTACTGTCCATCAATGAAGTAAGAATTTTTTAGAGAAAAGGAAAAGATCTATAAATACCCCTACAATCTCTCATTTGTAAGCTCAAACATATCAATAAAACTTTAAAGTTCTCTTGTCGAAGCTTTCTTCTTTCTTGTATTCAAGTTTCTTAATTTTTTTGCCTACATTTTGAAAGTTCGGCTGACTAAATTAGGATCAAGAGATTAATCATACTAAGGCCGACAT